CAAACAAACAAACAAACAAAAAAAACAAAAAAAACAAAACAAAAGCAAACAAACACACTGACAAACAAACGACCCTCCCCCCAAAGAAAATGTACATGAGCTTCCCACTTCTGCGAGAGCTGCCTCTCGAAGTACTCCAGGGTCTCCTTCTCCTGTATGGGGTAGCGCGGCACCTGGAAGTCCCCGATACATGTATTGTATAAGATCTCATCTCCCATTCCACACAAAAAAGCAAAACATTTTAAAAGAACCCACACAACCCAAGAGCAAACAAATCAAACAAAAATAATAAGCAAGTGCCGCTGCTCACCTCTGCGACAACTGCCTCTCGAAGTACTCCCGGGTCTCCTTCTCCTGTATGGGGTAGCGCGGCACCTCGAAGTCTGCGGGCGCCACGTCCCACATGAAGGAGGACAGAGTCTCCCCGGTCTTCACCAGCTCCTCGTCGAACTCAGACGGCCGGGGCTGACGCGCCAATTTGGTCCGGGTCGGGGAGAAGGGCGGCGACTGGCGACCTGGAGAACGGGGAGGTTTTGGTTTGAGTTTGGGTTTGAGTTTGGGTTTGAGTTTGGAGTTTGAGTTTGGGTTTGAGTTTGGGTTCGGAGTTTGGGTTTGAGTTTGGGTTCGGAGTTTGGGTTTGGGTTTGGGTTTGAGTTTTGGGTTTGGGTTTGAGTTTTGGGTTTGGGTTTGAGTTTGAGTTTTGGGTTTGGGTTTGGGTTTGGGTTTGAGTTTGGAGTTTGGGTTTGGAGCTTGAGTTTGGAGTTTGGGTTTGGAGTTTGGGTTTGGAGTTGAGTAAGAGTTGGAGCTGGAGTTTTGAAAAGGTGGGGAGGGGGGGGGGATTAACTGAGCGCATCGATACAGTAATAGTCATACCGGGTTGGGGAGAAGGGCATGGAGGACTGGCAACCTGGGAAGAGAGGATTTAGTTTGAGTTCATTCTGAGTTTGAGTTTGGGTTTGAGTTTGGAGTTAAAGTTAGAGTATAACGAACGGGGTCGGTGAGAAAGGCAAGGACTGCCGACCTGAAAGAGGGAGGTTTGAGTTGAGTTTGGGTTTGAGTAAAAAGAAGCGAGCTCATCGACACAGTAACAGCCATTTGACCAGGACAGGGAGAAGGGCGGGGACTGGCGACATGGATTATGGGAGGTTTTGATTTGAGTCTGAGTTGGAGTTTGGGTTTGGGCTTGAGTTTGAGTTAAGAGTTTGAGTCTCGGGGAGAAGGGACGGGACTCGCGACCCGGAAATCTCTCTCTCTCTCTCTCTCTCTCTCTCTCTCTCTCTCTCTCTCTCTCTCTACCGTTAGCGCTAACACATGAGACGACAAGTATCGAGCTTCAGACAACAGCGACAAAGTAAAACGACTTAACAGCGATCCCCATACAGAACTCCACCTGTTCCCACTGTCTCAAAAGATCTGTATTATCACAACTTTTAAAAGTCTCAGTACTGGTATCATCGATTGCCATCGGAAATTTCACGGTCTGACGTATCAACATTGACTTGCCACCAAAAACTTTCATTGTCTCCATAGACATACCATCACGTACTTTTACAGCGTCTCAAAAATAAATACAATATTGTGACTAGGCTAGCATTTTAGCGCCTTTGGAAGGCAATTCCCAGGAAGTTGAGATTGTCTCAGAAAGCTATTCGGCATGCCGGGGTAATTGTGTTGATTTAAAGCGCAAAGGGGGCGCTGTTGAACGGGACTTTGGGCTATACTAATGCTGCCTCTATTACTATTATTATTATTATTATTACTATTATTATTATTATTATTATTATTATTAATATCATCATCATCATCATCATTATTAGCTTATTAAATCATCAAAGACTGCCTCAATAATAGACGTATCAGCATGGACTTTATATATATATATATATATATATATATATATATATATATATATATATATATATATATATATATATATATAAATACATGTATATCACTAGATTTATCCTCACCGACTTTATACCTACACAGTCTCAATAGATGTACAAACACTTATCAGCACTTCACACCGACTTCTACTGTCTCAATAGACGTATGACTACTTACAAGCATCACGGACTTACACTGTCTCAATGGCAGACTTATCATCGCGGACATAACATTATGAACTACGTTAACTCTTTCTATACCAGAGGAATTTCAACAATTGGCCTCTATCAATGTAATGGGAATCTGGCCGGTTGAATGGAGGCAGTGTAGGGGGATGACGGACTCTGGACTTCAAAACAAAACAAAACGTTTAGGCCTACATGAATTTGGGTTTTTTTTGTTTTTTTTCTAATGTCGGCATGCTATTTATCAAATTGAGAACAAGAGAATAAATGACATGAAAATTACGTCTGGAAAAAAAAACTTGTCTACTTATAGAGAAAAGTCGGTGGTTGACGGGTGCTCTGGTGTGGTTTGCTCCTTCTTTCCTATCAAATGTCCTTATCTCCCCCTACGCCTTTTTTGCGTTTGTTTCTCTTGCAACACCTCTAATCTTCGGCACTTAGATGAACTTATGTTGTTGCAAGTGCCGAACAACTTTTACTAAAACAATAATTTTAAAAAATCAATAGAGAAAAAGGGCATCTTTTACACTGAGACTTACATACTACCAATAAATTAAACCATGAGACTGGCGCGGACAGGGTTTAACTACTAGATCTAGAGACAGTGTGTAATACATTTTCTTTTTCACTTTAAGGAAGTTTAACGTGCTATTGATCAAGTTTGGCACAAAAGAATAAATAACACAAAAAAGGCGTTTGGAAAAAAAATGGTCTGTACTATGAGAAAAACGGTATATTTCACACAAACTGAGATACATGTACTACCAACAAAAAAACAGGTCTACTTATTGAGAAAAAGGATATATTTCACTCAACCTGAGATACTACCAACAAAAACTGGTCTACTCGTTGAGAAACAGGGTATCTTTCACTCTGAGGCAGAGATAATACCAATAAATCAACAGTAAATCGTGGGACTATGGCGATGACAGGGTTTAACTACATATTGTAGTACTTGAGACAGAGCGCCCCACTCCACGTCCACCCGAGGTCGTCTTGGATGTAACACGACATGATCCGGGGCACCAATAATAAAATCAAATGCTTCTTATTTTTAATTTTAATGTTTCCCCTTTTTTTTTTGGGGGGGGGGGTTCTTTCCTTTGGAAAGAGTCAGTACTTTACAGTACTTACAACACAAACAGGTCATATTAATGTTGAAGATTTGAAATGTTTACTAGAGATTGAAAAATAGAAAAAAAGAAGGAGAGATAAGGCCGATAGTTTGATATGAAAGGAGAAGCAAACCACAACAGGGCGCCCGCCAACCAACCATCGATTAGGTACCAGCAAAAGAGACACACGAGGAGGAGGAGGAGGAGGAGGAGGAGGAGGAGGATGAGGAGGGGGGAAGGGGAGGAAGAGGAAGATGAAGAAGGGGGAGGGGGAGGAGGAGGGAGAGGAGGATGGGGAGGAGGAGGAGGAGGAGGAGGAGGAGGAGAAGGAAGAGAAGGAGGAGGGGGGAGGGGGAACGAAAAGGTGGGGACAAAGTAGAGTCAACAACACCGACGACGTCCAACCAACCAACCAACCTCACTAACAGCTCGTACGTCAGTCAAAGAGAGCCACCGACTTTATGTCGTGTACACACACACGACCTTATCCTTATCAACGAATAAATTATTTTCCCCCTTATCAAGACAAGATCGAGAGTCCGCTCGCGTACGACTAGGGCCGATCGACGTCTCTGCTGGACCAGGTTCGTTTGGTTTAGAAAGAGTACTTAAGGTCATACAAGTGCCGAAGACTAGAGGTGTTACAAAAGAGTAACAAACACACACACATAAACACACACACACACACACACACACACACACACACACACACACACACACACACGCATACACACAAAGGGAAGAGAGATCAGGACGATAGATATGTGATGGGAAAGAAGAAACGAGCCACATCAGAGTACCCTAAAAAGCGAACAATGATACCAGTGGTATTGACAGTAACAACCCTTCACTACCCATTATGAAGTGGACACTTTTCTATACATGTATTTCTGTCTGAATCCGCATGGAAATGAGCCAGGGTTGGTGATTTTTTTGATTTTTAAAATAAAAATTTTAAAAATCGATTTTTTAAATTTAAATCAGATTTAAAAAAAAATTTTAATCGGATTTCTTTTATTTTTTTTATTTTTTTAAAAATGTCGACACAGTTTGGGATTTTTGGTGGCTAAAAGTATGTTCTTTTAGTGCAAAATGCATTGTCATTATTTTAACTAATGATTAATCTATGCAACTGCAATTTTAGAAAGCCTTAACATCTGCTATATCAGTGAATTATGGCTACAGACAAAAATTGAAGAAAATGTCAGTCTAAAAGGAAGGGGGGGGGGGGTAATTATGCATAGATAAACTTGCATTTTATTACAGTGTGTGTGTGTGTGCGCGCGCGCGCTTGAGTTTGTCTAAAAAGAAAAAGAAAATGCTATTTTCAATTATGAAAAAAAGTAAATTGAATACTGTATTATTTTACTACTTACACTTACAGTGACAGGGGGGAAAGCAGACTTTTATGCAATTTTAGTCTACTAAACCTTATATCTGTTTTATAAAACCAAGGAAAGGAATTCTGAATGTTTAAAGATGTAAAAACAGAACACATTTTTTTAAAGTGATTTAAATCACTGAGTTTTATTTTTAAAATCAAGTTGATTTCAGTTTTTTAAAAATCAACTGATTTAAATCGACCTGATTTAAATCAACCCAACCCTGGTTTTCAATTTATGAAAAAAAAAGTAAATTGAGAACTGTATTATTTTACCGTGACAGGGGGAAAGCAGACTTTTAAGCATGATTATTTAGTCTACTAAACCTTATATCTGTTTAATAAAACCAAGGAAAGGAATTCTGAATGTTTAAACATGTAAAAACTGAATACATTTTTTTGAAAAGTGATTTAAATCCCTGATTTTTATTTAAAAAATCAAGTTGATTAAAATATTTAAAAAATCAACTGATTTAAATCAACCCAGCTCTGATTTCAATTATGGAAAAAAAAAGTAAATTGAATACTGTATTATTTTACAGTGAAAGGGGGGAAAGCAGACTTTTAAGCATGATTATATTAGTCTACTGAACCTTATATCTGTTTTATGAAACCAAGGAAAGGAATTCTGAATGTTGAAATGTGTAAAAACTGAATAACAATTGATTTTTTTAAAAGTGATTTAAATCACTGATTTTTATTTACAAAATCAAGTTGATTTAAATCAAAAAAATCAACTGATTTAAATCAACCCAACCCTGAAATGAGCACATAGCTTCTGTGACCAACTTCATCTGGTTTGACTTAAAAGATTTTTATATTAGGCATGGGCCAGCGTGTTCAAGTTGTGGGCCGGATTAAGCAATTATGAATTACTAGCTGGGTATCCCTTCGATGAACATAAACAGACTCAAAAGAATCGGCCGTCAAGTCATTGTGGAAGAGTGCGCACTGCTTGTGAACGGAAGCTTCACTTGTTTACAATGGTGTCTTAGAAGACAGACTTTCCCAAGATTAGTTCTAAACGAAAGTAATGAAAAATTGAAAACTAAACTACAGTAGACTCCTCAATATAACTGTGCACCCTTTAAACGAACGTTCACTATTAATATAATAGTATAGATATATCTTTGCTGGACAAAACAGGGGGAAATTGGGAGAAATCTGTAGAAATACCCAAGCTCTTAAAAATTAGGCTAAAAATGGTCGCTTTTAAGGGGACAATCCCGAAAAATGCTGTTTTGACAAAAATCGAGGGTAAAGCTTTTGGACCCACATAATCCATCTCCATGTATTTGTTTTAATAATAATAGAGATAATAATAATAGATAGTATTTGAATAGCGCTAATCCCTTCTCAACAGCAAGCTCTATGCCTTTCATGATCTATACAACATGTATTACCCCAGCAGACCTGAGAGCATTCTGAAACAACCTCAACTTCCTGGGAAGCATACAGTGCAAGTGGCCATTTATAGGCGCTAAAACACTCACATACTGACAAGATCTTTCACTGTATATGGCCCGGTACCTAGAACCTATTTCCATTTGGATGAAGGGAGGAAAATTCGTGTGAAGTGCCTTTCCCAAGGACACAACGTCGGGCCTGCGGCTCGAACCCCCGAACCCGCAACCTCACGATTACAAGTTCGGTAGCCTAACCACTCGGCCACCAACGCAACAATCAATGAATTCTCCTGTGGATCATTATACGAATCAATTCCGACCTTGTCTGGCATATACATATACATTACTGACAATTATTTACTCGATTAAAAAGAAATTTGACTAAAAAGTTGGATTAGCTCAGTAGTGCAGATATTATACAAGACGCTTTTAAAGCAAATCTGGGAGCCGAATGGGCAATCTCATAAAAAATAAGGGATACCTGTCTATCTGGACTATTTATTCTTGCACTGAAGTATACAAATGATCTATCCCCTGTACAGTCGGCTTACCCATCAACTTTGTCAACTCTTTTTCATTGGGTTAAGCGGTCTATCTTATCCACGTGAGAATTACATTTTAAGCATTTTCTACCAAAACAAATTGATACTATTTTTGGAACAGTGCCCAAGTGAAAACTGATACACTACAGGCAAGAAATCTGGTGAAAAAAACATATCTGATATATGAGAATACAAAAAAAGACTTTGAGGTCATTTTTACTGCAACATGCAGTGAACTCTTCATTATAATCAATTACTGAGTCGACTCATGGACCAGACTAATCGTTCCTTAGAGTAACGAGAAGCACATTGACACAATGATGATCATTAAGTGCTGGGAAAAAAGCAAGATAAATGGACAAAAACAACAGAGGAAAAGTAAACAAATACGACCTATCAGTAGCACCCTCCAACCACCTGCGTACTATAATTCACATACAATACAATTGGGCACAACACAAACACGGAAAACTCAAAATCGTGGATATATATATAGTTTGCACAATTTTCCAATCCCCAAATGATATCTCTTTAATCTTTCATTATCAGTTAACCCGAATTATGGGTGTATCGAACACGTACATTCATTAATCCACCGCATGTTAGAGTTCGTGCCTGGCTGTAGGTATACAAAAATTATATTCTTACCATTTTCAATGCTGCGCCGCTTGTTCAAAGGTTCAGAGCTGTCTGATGAGGTGTCCATGTTGTCAGTATTGGTAGGGTCCATGATGAACGGTCTACAAGTCTTTGGTGTATTCTCAGGGGAGGTTCACAAACCCAACCACTGGATCAGCAAGTCAATATATCACTCGTCACAGAATCACCGCGGTATTTGTGGGTTAAGTCACACAAAATAATTCCTAAACTAGGCGGGTTTTTTCAGCTTCAGTAAGAGTATTACAGCACTTGCAACACAACAAGGTCATGAAGTGCCAAAACACTTGGCTACACAAATTTCACAATAAAAGATAACAATTCACAAAATTGGCCGATTTAAACTCACAGCATAAACTATTTCACGAACTTGACAGTTGTAAAGCCTACTCTCAACGAGAGGCCAAAGACGAAACGAAGTAAGTGAACTTGACAGTGTCAGTTAGACCATGCAAAATAGTTCACAAACTAGGCTTCATCAGTGAAAGTGACAGCACAAACCGTAACAAACTGAGCTAAGCTTAACACTACTTGTCCCCACACTGCATAAATGTGTCCCTTGATAAGTCTTTACAAAGACAATTTGCTGACTCTGCAGGATCAGGACACGTCGTCAGGTTGAACACCCTGGGAGAAAAACAAAAAGAAACAAAGCCTCACAAGGTTGATGAGCTTCTCTCCTTATCTTTACATAAGATGACGAGTTATTGCCTCTATGTCTAGACAAACCAGTACAACCAACTACAGTTATACATCAGGTTGAGAGTTATATATACCCCACATATAATATATTTATACATTATTATTATAATAATATTCCAACTCGGTCCCCCAAAATACCACACGTCTTACATTATGAACAAAAAAAAGAAAAAGAAAATATTTTGAAGAGAAACACTGCCATTTTCTTTTTCTTTCTAAAGGCAAAGAGAAATCCACTTGAGAGCAGACCAGGCAAGCTGTAACGATATTCCTAACATTGCTGGCAACAGGCATACTCAGACATTAATGTTTACCATCCGTGGACAGGAAGGCTGATGTTTACTTACTCCAGCAGCACTCATAAATCTACCCTGACGTTGAGAGGCTCACCCTGTAGAGTCTGTATAAATTTAGTTTCAAGTTTCACTCCACCGTACAAAATTCTGAGGGTTACTACCTTGCTGTGATAACTACACGTCGCTGCCTAAAATTACAAAAGTTTTATCTGTTCAGTACCTAGTTTTGAGAAATTTGACATTAAAAATTTTGTGTTTCACAACCTGTCAAGCTTTTTCGAATGCAATTCTTTTAATATTAATATAGCTTGATATTGACTTCCTATAATCTTATAATTTTGATAAAGCAGATAGAACATTAGACTTCTGACCTCATGGTCTTAGTAACTCAATACTGCCAAAAATGTCAAATAGAACTTTGTAATTCTAAGGTAGCAAAGTGCCCACTATTTGTCCGACTAGCATCTGTGGTGTAGCGGTTAGGTGCTTGAGGGGAGAGGTTTTATCGAGTTTCTCTGTCTTCCTACTGGAACAATGTATCTGTGGCCTCGACAGGCAGGTTGAAAGCTCACCTCTTAAATCATCTAAATTGTGTCAATCAATGAGGGCATATAAAAAACACTAAAATCAAGTTGAAATTACTAAGTTTCTTTTAAATCAACTGTATAGTATAACCCTTTTATTATTTCAGATAAAAAAATGTTATTTACATTTATACATCAAAGTAAAATCATAGAGCCCAAGAGGAAATGGGACTAAACCTCAGTTCATTTTGAAAGGGCTTTTCAAATTCCAAGACAAAGAATGAACTTCATCACATTACATTCTCTTTTATTATTTGCCCACTCAATAAAATGATATAATAGTAGCTGAGCTGTCAAGAAACGCAATAGGACACATTTCAGGCTCACCCCCTTGCCCATCACATTACCCCTTCTCATTATCTAGCTCTAGTTTATAAAGAATCCCACCATGTTACGCAGAAGACAGGCTCTCAATTATTCCTCTATGGCCATGACATTTGAACCCCAACTTTTGATATGAGGATGAGAAACTTGAAGATCATCTCAGTTTGTCAGCGGACGTCAAATCTTTACTTGTAGTCAAAAATAGAATCACAGGAGCAGCCCACACTGACCAGCTGACCTATGGGCTGTGTGAACAGCAAGGAGACTATCAACCCCCTTGTGCCCCCTCCCCCCAATTTAAAAAAATGCTTTTTAAATATGAATCCTGAGTACCATTATCTGAGTTGAAAGGCCAAAAGAAAAACAAACAAATATCCTGCAACCTCTTTCTATCTCAGGAGTGCAGACGAAGAAGACTATAATGATATAAATATTCACAGTAGTCTCCGTCTAAATGCACAGTGCTCGGGGGGGGGGGCTCCTTAGCATGTGTTTATCGGAATCTGCGTTTACATCAACCTGTGCAAAGGGAGGAAGGGACGCAGACATCTCATTGCCTTGACATTCTAGTGACCTCCCTTGGGAGTTGGGGTCACTTTGGCCAATAATGTTATACAAGTGACTGTCTTGTGCGAAGGATTCCTCCTACTGCGGTTAAGAATACAAAAAGACGTTGAATGGGTGGGTGTGGGGGGAGGGGGGGGCAGAAAGACAGACTCAATGTAATGATACGCACCATAAAATATCGGGAACAGACCTAAGAGGAAACTGTTGGTGATAGTCATAGAGACGACGGCACAGCCACGTGGCTATCCAAGCGACCACCTCTGACCGTAAATTCAGGGACAACATCAGAATCATAGATCTCTACATTCAGAATCAGAGTATTTAGAGAAACAATTTCTCTTGTGATTCATCGAACAAGTACTTATAAGTTCTTTAAGGGCAGCTGATTCGGTTTACTTGACTAATCTTTAATCTTATAGAAGCCTATCTAGTGTTTTACAGTATTCACGCGTGTTGCGTATCACAGGCCTACGTTTAACTAAACATTATAATGCTGTCAGAAACCTTACCTCAAAGATGCATTTCCAGTGACCAATCAAAACACATTTCAGTCTCCCAAAACCCCAACATTTCACTGACCAGTCCTAGACCTAAGTGTCTGTGGAAAGTTAGGTGTGAAAACGAAGTCCATCGCTCTCTTTGTTCGACGTGAGGGACAGTCTCACCAAATATCCCGATTTCTAGGCTAGTCTTACCCAAGCTGAGTAGGCTGCAGCAAAATTTCCCCTAGTCAAGGTTTGCCAGTCAGCATGTTTCGAGGATAGGAGCGTGCGTTTAGAGAGAGTGACCGTGCGTTTGTACGTCTAAATTATAAAGTAAAAAAACGTCATATGATGAAAACGTGCATTTGGGCGGAGCGTGCTTTTGTATGGTGTGCGTTTAGGGGCAGACTACTGTATATCGATTTTTTCTTTTCATAGGATTCACCTTACAACCTTCCACAATTGGTCATGGTATTCTTTTATTTTCCCTTCCGTTTCACATTTAACTACTATGTGTCCATTTTGTACTACATACGCTGAACAAGAATATCAACTTCATTTCCGTTGAAATTTTTTTTTTTTTAAAATATTTGAAGGTTTATAATGGAACTTCATCACACTAGTAAGCCTAAAATTTTGCATAGTAATTTCCACAATTTGGTCCAATCGGGGGGGGAGTTCATGGGGGAGTAAGCATAAAATCTGTAGTGGCTATAGATATATATATATGTGTGTGATCTGCAGCAAATGATACTGCAGTTTAACCCTCAAACTCAAAGCAAAAGCATCTGTGTACCGGAATGAAAGTAAAAATTTACCGGCAATTGGTTATCATGTAGATTTAACCCTCCTTTCCACACACTAACATTTTTTAAGAGGCGGGGACCTCCGAAGCTGACATCCATCTCCAATAGGACAACGCAAAATATGTGGAGAGTCTTCATTAAAAATCTCCAAAATAACCCTTGGAAGTTAAAAACACATGAAGCTGCAGCAAGCACCTAGTACACCTCTGTGATTTGCCCAAATATAGATGACGTATTTCTGCCATCTAGATTTTCTATTTTTGTCATCTTCTGGTGTTTCCCCAAGGCTCTTGGGTTTCCCTCGCCAGTAACTGCACATGTTGACAAGATCTCACCGTGTTTTGGGGGGGGGGGGGGGGTGTGTTAATTTATAATATTATCTTTTATAAACAATCTCAGCAATTCTCATTTCATAAATTTAACTTCTCCTCAAAGTTGTACACAGGGGGTTCTCGTGGCCAAGAGGTTAAAGTGTTCACCTCTCATTCAAAGGTCCGGGTTCGAATCCGGGTAGAGACGGAAAAATTTTCTTCTCTAAAATTGTCTCCTTTCACCTCCTTTCCTGCTCTCTAACAATATTCTGTCGTCTGCTTTCGTCTCCACTTTCTGCCCCCACACCCTCACAACCTCCTTTGCCCCCTCCTCCGGGCTCCTGACTCTTTCTGCAACCTTTCTACTGTTTCTCCTTGGCTCCTTCTTACTGCTGTCTTTCAGCCACACCCCTGGTCTTCTGGTAGGAAAGATCTACACCTAGCCTTCTCAGACAAGGGCGGAAAATCTTGGAGGTCCCATGTGCAAGTTGTGCATATTAAAGATCCCTTAGTGGTCTAAAATTGATAAGAGTAGGCTTCAGCCGTCACTCAGGCAGAATTCAAAATTTCCTACCAAATGAAAATATTTCATGTGTCCCGCGCACTCATATATACATGACCTATGCAGTTGTGAGCGTCGTAAAACACTTTCAAAAACAAAACAAAAGCTGTACACAGACACACACATACAAGCGCATGCAAACACACACACACACGCACGCACATACACATACAAGCGCGCACACACACACACACTCAAGCACATGTGCACGCACACACACACACGCACACACAGCCCAAACAGTCAGAGACGAAACCTAGATCTAGGGATGTAGCCCATCGCATGCTAAGCGACAAAGCAGGGCCCGCCACAATGAGATCTAGTCAACAGGCGAGGGAAGCCCGAGAAGATGACAAAAATAGATGGTGGAAACATGTCACAGAGGTGTGCTAGGATGCTAGATGATCACTGCAGCTTTATATTATGAGTTCAAAACACCCCATTGGGAAGTACAACCAGGACCAACTACTCTGAAATGCAGCCTGACACCTGAAGCTAAATGCAAAGGTGCATCCAACTTTATAAATTTGCGAAAATGATCCACTTTATAAATATGCGAAAATGAATCTTAGAGACTGAGTAAGCTTTTTCATAGGATCTCTTCATTCAATTAGTCTAAAGAATCTAATGATTTAAATTTAATGAAACTGGCATTTTAACAATTTAATAACAGGAAGAAATAACAAGAAATAACAAATAGAAGACAACAACTGAAAATACAATATCATTTTCTTTTCAAGAGAAGAGGCAATGCACCTGCAAACTGTATGTCATGATGACTGTCTGTCCAACTGATTCAAACTCAAAGTTAAAACTCAGGTTTCTGTGATGACTGAACTGAAGTGAAAGCTCTGCACGTTCTGACAGATAC